GCATGCGCTTGCCAGACAGACAGAGAGAGACATAGAGACAGAAAGCAAGAAATCACCCCCCGGGGGGATGGCCACACTATAATCCCTTCTCCTCTTGGGATCTTGGGCACACATGCACACTCACTGGGTTTGAGTTCAAGCCATTGGGTTTGGGACTCAAATTGTGGTCGACTACATGAGAGTCCAGCAACATAGCCATTACGCCAACTACTAATCCCAGACTTATTTATTATTTAACTTTATGTATTATTATTTCCAGTTTGATCAGAGAGAGACCAAGAGAGAGAGGGAAAGTAAGAAAGCAAGCCACCAGGTCTAGGCTTTGAACCATTGTCGGCCATGTGAGAGTCCAGGGCCTTTAACCACCATGCCACCTGCTGACCTCGTAGTTTTGTTTCTTTTGCTTGATGTTTTGTGCTGATGCTGACTGAGAACAATTTAGTCATACTTTGTTTGAATATTCTTCCCCCAATGTTCACAACGTATAATTAAATAGTATTAGATATATTCAAGATGTTGTGCAGCCATCTATTATCATAATTTTTTTTTTTTTTAAGTTTTATTTATTTATTTATTTTAATTTGACCAGCAAGAGAGAAAGTGAGAAAGCAAGCCACCAGGTCTGGAATTCAAACCATGGTTGGCCATGTGGGAGTGTCCAGCACCTTAACCACCATGCCACCTATTGGTCCCTAAAAAGAATTATTTTATTTAACTTATTTACATATTTATTTTAATTTTATCAGAGGGACAGAGTGAGAGAGAAAGGGGAAGTAAGAAAGCAAGTCACCAGGTTCGGGACTTGAACTGCAGTCGGCCACGTGGGAGTCTGGTGCCCTTAACCATCACTCCACTTGCTGGTCCCGTTGCAATTGTTTTTCATCCAGCAAAACTGAAACTCTGTACCTATTAAACTGTAACTCCCCTTGCCTCCTTGTAGCCCCCATTCTACCCTCTGTCTCTATGATCTAATATTCTTCTTTTTTTTAAATTGTTAGAGGGTACATTTGCTCACTAGGGAGACAGAGAGAGAAAGAAAGGGTGAAAGTGAGGGAAATTTGAGGGAGAAAGCACTTCCTAAGAGGGTGTGGCCACAGCCCAGTCCCTCCTCCATGAGTTTCCATCCTACCGCAGTTTGGGGTACACGCACACTGTCCTGTTTCTTTTTCTAGGCCACTGGGGCTAGGATTTGAATCTTGGCCAGCATATCTAATATACTTCTATATTCAATTCTAGGTGAGGAAATAGTTCTTAGTTTGATGTTTCATATATCCTGAGTTTAAATACTTTCAGACTTTTCTTTTGGGGGGGGGGAGGTTTTTTGCTATAGGTCGCGTGTGCTCGCCAGAAAGAGAGAGAGAGAAAGACAGACAGCGAGAAATCACCCTCCAAGGGGGATCGCCATGCCACAATCCCTTCTTCTCCATTCTCCTCTCGGGATCTTGGGCACATGCACCTGGCGTGAGTTTAAGCCACTGGATCCAGGACTCAAACTGCATTCGACTACAATGGGAGTCCAGTGATTTTTTTTTTTTTTTTTTTTGAGAGATTTTTTTTCACTATAGGGCGTGTGCGCTCTCCAGACAGACAGAGTGAGACATAGAGACAGAAAGCGAGAAATCACCCCCCAGAGGGGATGGCCACGTCGCAATCCCTTCTCCATTCTCCTCTCAGGATCTTGGGCACGCATGCACATGCGCCCGGCGTGAGTTTTAAGCCACCGGGTCCGGGACTCGAACCGTGGTCGACTACGTGGGAGTCCAGCGACATAGCCATTACGCTAACTGCTGGTTCCCGGGAGTCCAGTGATTTTTGGAAAAAAAAAAAAAATTTCACCTTTATTCAAGATGTAATTTGTATGCATGCACGTGAGAGAGAGGGAGAGAGAAGCACCCTCACAGGGTGTGGTCCTGCTGTGATGCCCTCTTCTGCAGACATTCAGACGCTGGGTGTCCGTGTGCATGCCCTCCTCTCCAGACATTCAGACGCTGGGTGTCCGCGTGCATGCCCTCCTCTCCAGACATTCAGACGCTGGGTGTCCGCGTGCATGCCCTCCTCTCCAGACATTCAGATGCTGGGTGTCCGCGTGCATGCCCTCCTCTCCAGACATTCAGATGCTGGGTGTCCGCGTGCATGCCCTCCTCTCCAGACATTCAGACGCTGGGTGTCCGCGTGCATGCCCAGTGTCTTTTAGTCTGACTGCCCATAAATCTAAGTGTGGTTGCCATATGGGGTCCAGCTTCTTTTGAGTAATGGATTACTGCTGTTCCGCAGAGCTAACCCCTTTTAGACTATTTAAAAAATATAATTAGAATGATTTAGAGTCAGTATTCAGTGTCTGTCACTTGTAACTTTAGTTCTCAGATACTTGGTGTCTTCATTTCTGGGTGTTTTTTGGGAGGGGAGTTAGGAAGTACCCACCATGTGGGATAGTTTCAGCACAATCCATTCTCCATTTTTTCCTCTTTGAGATTTTTGGACACACGTGCATTTGGCATGTTTTTCAACTGCAAGTCTGGGATTTGAACCTCACTGTCGGCCATGTGGGATCCAGCTGCCTTAACTACCATGCTGTGGCTAGTCTAGTATCTTCGTTTCTAAAACTAATATTATAACATGCACCTGTTGAATCATTATGAGGATTAGAAATAAGTGTAAAATACTCAATAGGTCATAAGATTGATTCTCTAAAAATAGAAAGTATGCACTATTAGTACAAAAGAGGTTAACTGTATCTTAATATTTTACCTGGTTGGTAGAGGAAGAGTTTTTGTTTTAAGGTTTTAGCTCTGTAAATTTGCCAGCTCTCTTTCCAAAGATGTTTACTAGAACTCTTGGGTTCTAGAGAACTCTTTTACTGTTTACAGTCATGAGCATTAGCAGGTGTGTCTGAGTAAAGGGAAGGAGCAGTGGGCAGCTTGTAACCTTAGGAGGCGAAGATACTGCCTGGTGACGTTACTTGTGATATGCCTTGTTGAACATGCACTTTGCATGCTTTAAAGTATTACAGACACTAGCTGGCAGTTGGAACCTTGACTGATACCTATTATGTGGAGTAAAGGAAGGAAATAGACTCCTGTAAAATGAGAGGTGTTTCACAGAACATCAATGTTTTCTTGCTATGAAGAATCAAGAAATTAATGTGTGTGTGTGTGTTTCCCTTGTTTTCTGCCACCCCTGCTTCCCCTGTGCCCTACCGTTTCCTATATTTTTCATCATCATAAAGAGCGTGTACATACACCCAGGAGGGAGGGAGGGAGAGAAGACAGCATGCTCACAAGGTCTCATCATGCCATTCCCTCCCTTCTCCTGCCCCACAGCTCCTCACTACCCTAGGCTTCTAGGAGTTTATCTGGCATGTTTGCAGGCCTACCTAGAGATAGGGACCCATAGGCAGCTTCATGGCTCCCCGCCCTGTGTGACAGTGTGCTCCTGACTGTGCCACCTGCATTTTGTTATGCCAGGGTGTCAGTAACTTTGCACTACACAGTTAAGCCCAGGAGTTAGCCTGGTTACTGTTCAGGCTGTGTGCTGCTGTGTGATCCTTGATTAGGTAAGTGTTTTATCATGATTAGAACTTCAGATTTCAGGTCCTCTAGGGGTCAGATTTGATCTGCTCATCCTCTCTCGCCCTGTTTTTTCCATTTTCATCTTCTTTAACCTTTTACTTTCTTTTCATATGCAGCTGAGAATGTTTTCCCTTCGTAAGTCAAAAAGAAAGTAAATCCTTGCAGAGGAGAAAGCAGGGATATTCCTTGATTTACAAGTGCAGTGTCACACGTTTTAGAGTAAGTTGTGAGTCAGTCCTTTATACTTTAAGTACAGGGAAGGTAGAGAGTTTGTGAAATCATTTTTCCTCTGTCGTGATACTGATGGTCGAGTCAGAGAACCCCCATTAGGTGAGTTGTGGCTGAGCTCAGGTCTTTAACTGCCTGTCAGTCCCATGGAGGGGCCTTGAAGAGGGAAACAAGCTTTGGGAAAGCTTCTGGTTTAAGTGGTATTTGTTGATCATCTCTCTGTTCGCCTTCATTTCTCTGATAAGTGATACTTTTTCTCCTTAAATTTTTTAAGGTTCCTCAGAAGATTTTGAGTAAATGGGAAGCCAGTGTTGGTCTTGCTGAACAGTATGATGTTCCCAAAGGGTCGAAGGACCGAAAACGTGTCACCAGTTCAATCAAGTTGGATAGTGAGGAGGACATGCCATTTGAGGACTGTACAAACGATCCTGAGTCAGAACATGATTTGTTGCTTAATGGCTGCTTGAAATCTCTGGCTTTTGATTCTGAACATTCTGGAGATGAGAAGGAAAAGCCCTCTGCTAAGTCTCGATCCAGAAAGATCTCTGATAATCCAAAAAGGACTAGTGTGAAAAAGGGCCATATGCAATTCGAAGCACATAAGGAGGAGCGGAAGGGAAAGATTCCAGAGAACCTTGGCCTAAGCTTTATTTCTGGGGATGTATCTGATAAGCAGGCCTCTAATGAACTTTCCAAGATAGCAAACAGCCTTACAGGGTCCAATACTACCCCGGGAAGTTTCCTGTTTTCTTCTTGTGGAAAAAACACTGTAAAGAAAGAACTTGAAACTTCAAATTGTGACTCTCTGTTGGGCTTGCCTGAGGGTGCCTTGATCTCTCCACGGTCTGGAGAGAAGAAGAAGCCCCAGCGCGGCCTGGTGTGCAGCTCTAAAGTGCAGCTCTGCTATGCTGGAGCAGGGGGCGAGGGGAAGCGGAGTGATTCCATTAGTGTTTGCACCACTTCTGATGATGGAAGTAGTGATCTGGACCTCGTAGAACACAGCTCAGAGTCTGATAACAGTGTTCTTGAGATTACAGATGCTTTTGATAGGACAGAGAACATGTTACCCATGCAGAGAAACGAGAAGGTAAAGTACTCCAGGTATCCTGCCACAAACACTAGCATAAATGCAAAGCAGAAGTCCCTTGTTACGAACTCACATACAGACCACTTCATGGATTGTACCAAGACAGCAGAGCAAGGGACTGAGACACCTCAGGTTAATGTTTCTGACCTTACGGTGTCCTCTCTTGTCCACAAACCTCAGTCGGATTTTAGAAATGATGTTCTCTCTCCCAAATTCAACTCACCTCCAAGCATTTCCAGTGAGAACTCACTAATAAACATTGGGGCTACCAATCAAACTCTGTTACATTTGAAAAACAAACAGCCTAAGTTTCGAAGTATAAAGTGTAAACATAAAGAAAATCCAGTTGTGGTAGAACCCCCCATTACAAATGAAGACTGCAGTTTGAAGTGCTGCTCTTC